TGCCGATTGCTGTGCAAGTATCATTTCATCAGGAATACCATCATTCGCCTTCTTGTCCCGAACGAACTTCCAGAAAAATTTGGGATCACTTGAGATACATAAATTTACCTTAACAATGTAATCAGCATACAGCTGTTGATTAAGCTCTTTGCATTGAGATCGCAAAGATTTGAAATAGAGATAGTCACCTAATTTGCCTGATTTTTTATATTTGTAATGTGCTTCACTCTTCCTTCGACATAGATCTTTTAGTTCCAAAGTAAACCACTTTGGGTAATTAGAAGGACTATATTTTACAACTTTATATGGAATATATCTCTCAAAACCATAAAATAGAATATTATAAAAAGTTGAAATATTCTCATCCAAGTCATGACTAATTAATAAGGAATCCCAATGAACTGAAGCAAAAAATTCATTTAACATATTATAATCACCATTAGTACAGTCAAAAATACGAGATTCATAATATAAGATAGGAAGATCAACAGAAGATATAAACCACGATAACTGAGAATGATGAAAACTTTCAGAAAATATAGGGTCTATTCTCTATTGCATGGCAAATATCTATATTCACTATATTAGAAAAAATAAGATCAAGATAAACACCTCTGGAATTTGGAATACTATTAACTTGTTGCATGTTCATAAATGCAGCAGTTAAACAAATTACCTCACAATATTCCTGAAAATTACCAAATGAGTTAAACTGCATATCATTCCTATTCCAGTTTGAAAGAGGGAGATTGAAATCACCAGCTATAATATAAGGGGAATTAGGAAACTTTTCAAAAATACACTCCAAATCAGAACAATAATTTTCATAAACATTCAAATGCGATGCAGGCGGATTGTAAACTCCACCAACTATAAGATCTAAATTATTGTGTTTAAAATTAATATAAATACTTTCCACAAACCGACCAGATAAAATCACAGATGCCCTAAAATCCTTTTTTACTGCAATCAACACACCACCCCCACAAACTTTTTCACTGGTATTAGAGTTGCGATCAGCCCGAAAAATATTGTAATTGTTTAAATTAAGCTCTTCATTAGAGATATTTTGACAAAGCCAAGACTCAGGTATAATAAGCACATCATATACACTAGAATTGACATTAAGAGAAAAATCTTTCAATTTTGACCTAATACCGCCAGCATTGTAATAATAAAAATTTATTACTTTTTTGAAAGATCCGCAGAAAACCGTTTCTTAGTAATATGAAGTAGATTGTCCTTATATTTTAAAGCTACATCAAATTCACCTTTAGAAAGTCTGTCATGAAATTCATCCCTAACTTTATTATTATAGTCGCGTTGTAGTTTAGTTAGATCCGGCCTAAAATGGTATTTACGATTCGGATTAATCTTATTTGAGCGAAGAACATCCTTAACACTGGCTTCATTGTCATAAATAATCTTAAGAGGACGTACAATATTGGGTTTCGAGTGCCAAGACGGATTACTTTATTAGGCTTAGGAAAAGAACCAAGTGGGGCAAGTATGGATGCAACTTGTTTGAGATCATCTTCAATTTTTTGTGCAATAATAATAATAATAATAATAATAATGTTTATTGACATCCAGCAGACCATTGGTCCAAATAGGACATAATATAAACAAAAATGATTTCTCACAAAGTAAAGAATAACATAACAGTTGATTTTTTGCTATGTATATACATCATGACAACTTAATCAAATATCTCTTAAACAGTATGTTAAGTTATAGAACAATGAAAACTAAATGAATATGTAATTAATTAAATAATAAGTTAACAGTCGCCGAATCACTATATGTATAATTTAAAATTTTAAGATTAAGCGTTTACAATTATTTTGAAATGTATTAAAATTATTACCAAATATATCGAGATCAGTATGTTCCTTACTAAGTTCATTATATGTTTTAAACAGATTAAACATTGGAGAATACATGTGTTGATTAGTACGTGCAAATTCACAATAAAATAATGGAAACTGTCTTAAACTAATATGCGGTACGCTCAATTTAACATAATTCAATAATGAGGGAGAGTTAATACTTCCATTAAGGATCTTATATAAAAATACAATTGAGGCATAATTTCTTCTAGATCTTAAGGTGTACAAATTAAATTCCTGTAGCAACTCTGTATTTGAATAACCCTGGCAAGGATATACTCCATATATTTTAAAGTAAAGAAATTTACAAAATTTGCGCTGTATTCTTTCCAAATCGGTAATATGAATCTGATAAAAAGGATACCACACATTAGAACAGTATTCTAATTTAGGCCTAACCAAAGAATTAAACAAAGTAATAAAGCAATCTACATTTTTAAAACTAGACGTATTTCTTTTGATTAGTCCTAGTGATTTGTAGGCATCGTTACAAATTTTATTCACGTGTGGGACAAACGACAATGACGAATCCAGAATAACACCTAAATCACGAATTTCGGTACAGTTCTTTATTACCACACCATCTACAGTATACTCATAAGTAATTGAATTTTCTTTGCGTGAAAAAGTCATTGAAAAACACTTTTTATGGTTAACTTTTAATTTGTTCTGTCTACTGTAATGTGTAAAATTATTTATATCTCTCTAAAGTGCAAAGCAGTCATTAATGTCTTTAATTACTCTAACTATTTTCAAGTCATCCGCATAAAGAAAAATTTTACTGTTTATATACTTTGTTACATCATTTATAAAAAGAGTAAATAATACTGGACCTAGTGTGGATCCCTGAGTGACCCCACTAGCTGTAGCAAAATGTGAAGATTTACATCCTCTATATTCCACATATTGATTACGATCGGCAAGCAAAGACTTAAAAAGTGTAATCAGACCATTACATAAACCAAAATGATTGAGTTTTTCGCAGAGTAAGTCTATATTCACAACATCAAAAGCCTTCGAAAGGTCTGTAAAAATTACATCAACCTGCAAAGAGTTGTTCATTGCATCCGATACGAACTGAATAAATTCGCATAGGTTCGTACAAGTAGATTTTCCTTTGATGAAACCGTGTTGTTCGTCAATAATTAAAGATGATGTGTGGCTACGCAAGGCATCGGCTAGAATACTATCAAAAATCTTAGCAAAATTGTTTATAATAGCGATAGGTCTAAAATTTGTGATTTCTTCCTTACTTCCAGATTTAAACACAGGTGTAATTTTAGAAGTTTTCCAACATCCAGGAAAAGTCGAACTACGCATTATTAAGTTATAAAGATAGCAAAGTGGCTCACTTAAACAAAAGATAGTGTCCTTAACAAAAAATGCCGGAATTCTGTCGGGTCCCGCTGTAAAGTTCGCCTTAAATTTTCTGACAGCCTTGAATACATCTTTGGAAGACACTTTAAACAAGTGCAAAACACAGCCATATGAAGTAGGACATTTGTTATCAATATCATACGTTGAATTTTTTATATCACATTCGTTACTATTAGAGGGCGTATCATTTTCTTTAACATCACATAACGAATTTGAGACATATACATTCCCAAAATGTTTAGCAAAACCATTGACTATTTCTACTGGTGATATTAGTTCTTGATCTCCATAGTTCATTCTTCCAGGGATTCTAGACGAGTTTTTCTTTAGATTAATATATGACCAAAATTTACATGGATCAGTGCGAATACTGCGTTCAACAACTTCAATATATCTGCTATAGTCTCTTTTCATCATCAACTTGATATCTTTACGAAGTTTGTTGGCCATGTCTCCATAATAATCGTATTTGGTTTTCTTAAGCATTTTCCTAAATTGTTTTTTCTTATTTATCTTGTCAACTAATTCTTTAGAATACCACTTGGGAAAAGTAGACATTCTAGGTTGCACTACTGGTACATATGATGCAATTATCTTATTCAATTCATCATAGAAGTAATTACAAGCATCATCGATATTATTTATGTTATATAATACATTCCAAGACATATTAGCTAGCGCACTTCGTTGCAATAGAGGAGGCAGTCGATTCAGCGATATTAAATAACAAAACATTAGCACTGCGCAGTTTGCCCTCTTCAATTTCCAATACCACACTATTGAGATCATAAATATTATCACTATTAGAGTTATTATTAGAATTTTTGAATTCCTTACATTCCTCTTGAATAACTCGAACATCGTTTTCAACTACCGTCAACCTGTCCATAATATTCTTAAAATTACTATCAATTGACATTTTCAATTCATTTTGCATAATTATCAGTTGTTTTTTTATAATTTCTTCAATTCGTTCAGCTGAAATCATATTACTAGCAGGACCTGAGCATTTAGGGCATATCCAAGAAGATTTATCACTAATTGTATCATCAATCTCCGCTTCTGTTACTCCCAAACATTTTAAATGCAAATACTTCTTGCACACACCACTACATTTAATAGATGGTGTAGTCGGTGTTATAGCACCTTCACAGTTATTGCAGGAAACAGGCATAGTGAACAAGGACACAATTTTTCACACTAACGCGGTCCTTCGTAGTGACTTACAGTAGAAACAAACAGACTGGACCAGGGAAGGGTATACAAGAGAAACACTTAGGTACTGTGGGAATTATAATACCGTGTGGGCTAAATTATTTGATACAGAGGGCCCCAAATAACGTTATCAGTAAAGCAAGAAAAAGTTTCAATCATTCAAAGATAACCAAGAAAAATGACCCGTTATCATACTAGTAGCAGACTTATACAATTCATTTACACCACCAACTATCCGAAAATATGTGTACTTCAAGCTATAAACCACTATCAAAAATTTAACTAAAAACTACAAATTTGAACCACCAAAATCAACAATAAAACATTGAGTATATACAACTACTTTCGTTGCACCTTGAGAGTTAAGTGAGTTAAAAGCACACACAAGTTGACGTTGTATTATTTATTCATAACTGCACTTAGCATGAGACAGCAAGGTTTATCAAATATGTTTTCTATACCGTTTACTTAAAACAAAAAAAAAGATGTGTACCTACCTATCTTACAGGAATAAAAAACAAAATTTCGTGAAGTGTTCGAAAAAGATCCTTGGTTTCTTGAAGGTGATCCTCCATTGCCTAAGCCGCTTGTCCTAATTTGGACACTTAGTCCACCACTGAAACATAAATTATGTTGGAAGTATACACTTAATAACACAAATAAATTTATAATCAATAAAAAAAGTTGTAGAAAAACGTGAAAATACTAATAGATATTTATTTTATTAGGAGTTTAAGTGATACTTTATGTGACGGAGTTTGGACGATTAAACGCCGAGCGATAGCGAGGCGAATTAAGTCCATACGAGTCACATGAAGTCGCTTAAACTCCGAATGAAATACAATATTTTATTTTCAAACGATTAATCTTCTTTTGAAATGATTATTTCCCATCTTCTTGCTTCATTAAGGAATTGCCTTGATTTCACTTACCATGGTTCCTATGGTTGACAACCACTATGATTTTCACATATTTATACTCCGGCGGAGTATAAATGTTTTATTTATACGCCGGCGGAGTATAAGTAGTACTTATGCGCCGCTCAAACACGGTGTCATAGAAATGACACTTAAACCCCGGTAAGACCGTCATATAAATGTCAGTTATATGACGTTCGAAAATAAACATAATTATAAGTACTGATTAGATTTTACTTACACCACGGCGCGGCGTAATAAAATGACCTAAGGAAGATTGGATCATTCTGGAGAGTTCAACGTTATTACTTGAGTCAGTCGTTATTTTCTAGAAGAATGAAGGTATTTTATTATTTCTTCTTTCTTGTGTATACCTTTGCTACAAAGCCAAAGTCAAAGTAAAAATAAAGATGATATGTTTTTCTTACCTTTGCTATAGATATGTATTTTTACAGTTTCACTTGTACTGCATTTTACAATAGGGCTAAATTTACGATAAATTACACCTTTTTATTATAATTTGTGACTGATAAGGGGATTCTGGAACATACTTTTTGAATTTTACTTTCACGATATAAATAGAACATATTTACCAAAATTATTTCTTCATTTTCTTGGTTGATCCTTTTGCATCTTTAAATTGTCGTAAAATCAATCAGGAAAATATGGAGGAACATGCTAAACGGTCTCATGCATTGCTTTTTGTTTATTTAATAAAAGAGAAAACACAATTCTGTTTTATGTCGAGGTCTTATTTTATTCGTAACAGTGTTTGTACTGTTACTAATAATTTTTAATCTTTGATTAAACTCAATAATACTAAGTAGTTGCGAAAAAAATATACAATGTAGTACCGGACCAAGTCATGAATATCACGAAAAAGCAGAAGCGATGCAGTGATGTAAAGAAATTTTGCCGGTTTTCCTAATTTTTTCTTTGTTCTGGTATTTATACGCAGACGATACGTTTTCATTGATTTCAGACCTACGTAGATTATTATTATTTTTTAAGTTGGTTTCGGATAATAGCAAGTAATACGTATATGTATAAGATTCCAACGAAGAACAAAATAGTAATTTACGCAACTAGTTCGGGATAGCCTGCTTCCCGCATGAACGCTTGTTTGAGGCACGACCGAAGGGAGTGCCGCATTTGCGTGAATGCGGGAAGCAGGCTCACGAACGTGTTGTGTACAATATTTTTTGCGACGAATAAACCTTTAAACTGAAGAGATTAACTGTGAGTAATGAGTTGGACTTAAATATTAAGGATATTATTAAGACATTAACTGTTTACGTGTTTGTTGGAAAATTATATAAAAAATATATAATTTAATGTCCATTTCTTTTCAGAAATATCTGACGTAAACTCGTAAAAAGTCGAAAATGTTTAAAAAGAATCAAGATTACTAAATGAAGTTTTCAAAGTGTTGCGCGTAGGGGTTGGCAATTCAAACAGATTGGGCAGTATATCAAATTTATTAGAAGAAAATGTCGCTGGTACGGGTGTTGGTTACAATTATCCCTTGTCTGCTACAACTACAACTACTTCTTCAACTACAAATACAAATACGACTAATACAACTAATACAACTAACTTCTTCAGGTGTGAGCCAAAAGTTATATATTGACAACTATAGTCATGTGACCGGCCATAGTTGCGGAGTAATGACATGACCTCCTTAATTTTGATTGAGTCGATACTTAGCAATCGCGGAAAAGGAAATGCAACTCAGCTTGACTTCGGACTCGCTTCCTTCTAACAACGCTTGCACATGCTGCCGCAGCAACCCCAATTAAACAGGATATTTCACAACAAAAGCAACAAATACAACAAATTTAATAGTTATTTTTTGTATCAGTGTATTTATAAAGCAATGCTCAGTCGTTCACTATACATTAAGGATTCTCGATCAAATAAAACTGAAACAGAGAAAGTGATTCAAGGGCAGGATGTTGAACAAGTCGAAATTCGGAATGCTAATGAAACTGCCTGTGAAACTTCAATTCCAGCTACGTTTGATATTAGTCTTTCACCAACAAAAAAGGAAAAAATGACAATGTTTTGTCTATTAACGTGAATATTAATGTAACGTTAAAAAGTAGATCTAAATAATTCTAACTTATTATTTACGAGTATATAAGGCACTAATGTTTTATTAAACTCATAAAACGTCCCAAAACCGTAATGTTATGGCCTCAAGATATATCGGTTGTGGATAAAAGTTTTTAAGGATAAGTTAAGAGAATTTTTAGCTGTGTAGGAGCATTTTTAAAAACTAATTAACCGTTAATATTTGTGTTAATCTGTTATGCATATTTTATATTCCAATTGTCTTATTTTATGTTATATTTATACATTTGTGTATCAGTGCTGAGCGAAGTTTTTCGATGCTAAAACAGACAAAAAATTACTTACGCCTGAAACAAGACTTGTAGACTTGGCGATTATTTCCATTAGCACCGGTTAGGACAGACCATAGATTATATTATAAACAATTTGTGAAAGAATTTCCTGCAATTAAAGCACGAAAAGTTTCCTTTTCAATTTTGTGTCATCAGCGCGACCTTGTAAATCAGTATAAAGTGTGTAATGACTGTCTACGAATAACAGCTCAATTTTCTCTTGTAAGTATCATCAATGTATTTCTGAAATAATTACGTATATGTATAAAAAATATATTTAACAAAATGAAAAGGCGGCACATATTTGCTTTGCGGTGGACGGTATAATACCCAGCGCTGGTTCTGAGTGTATCTAAGGAAATTAACATATTCTATTGGGTGAAATCGCAACACGTGATACATGAATTATATCATCTGTAATGTAACCAGCACTTACTTATAATACTAAACCTATACCTACGCTTTGTTCATAAAAGTGAAAAATTGCTACATTAAACTACAATCAAACTGTTTGGAAAAGTTCTTTCTTGTAGGATTCTTTCTAGAAGCGCCGACTCTCTTTAAATACTCGACAACTTTTTTGTGGCCGTTTTGGGACGCTATGTTAAGTGGTGTTGAATTGTCATTCATGGCGCGGTTGATTTCGGCGCCGGCTGTCACCAAGCATTCGACAACTTTTTCGTGACCGTTCTGTGAAGCTACGTAAAGTGGTGTCGCACCGTTTTTATTAGCGCGATTAATTTCGGCGCCGGCTGTCGCCAAGTATTCGACAACTTTTTCGTGGCCGTTTTGTGCAGCTACGTAAAGTGGTGTCGCACCGTCTTTAATGGCGCGATTAATTTCGGCCCCGACTGTCGCCAAGTATTCGACAACTTTTTCGTGTCCGTGGAAGGAAGCTATGTGAAGTGGTATCCAGCCGTCATTATCAGCGCGATTGGTTTCGGCGCCAACTATCGCCAAGTATTCGACAACTTTTTCGTGGCCGTTTTGTGAGGCTATGAAAAGTGGTGTTGCACCGTTATTCTTAGCGCGATTGATTTCGGCGCGGACTGTCACCAAGTATTCGACAACTTTTTCGTGACTGTTTTGTGAAGCTACATAAAGTGGTGTCGCACCGTTTTTATTAGCGCGATTAATTTCGGCGCCGACTGTCACCAAGTATTCGACAACTTTTTTGTGGCCGTCTTGTGAAGCCATGTGAAGTGGTATCCAGCCCTCATTCTCAGCGCGATTGATTTCGGCGCCGACTGTCGCCAAATATTCGACAACTTTTTCGTGGCCGTTTAGTGAAGCTATGTGAAGTGGTGTCCAGCCGTCATTATCAGCGCGATTGATTTCGGCGCCGACTACCGCCAAGTATTCGACAACTTTTTCGTGGCCGTTTTGTGAAGCTATGAAAAGTGGTGTAGCACCGTTTTTATTAGCGCAATTAATTTCGGCGCCGACTGTCGCCAAGTATTCGACAACTCTTTCGTGGCCCATTTGTGAAGCTATATAAAGTGGTGTCGCAGCGTTTTTATTAGCGCGATTGATTTCGGCGCCGGCTGTCGCCAAGTATTCGATCACTTTTTCGTGACCGTTTTGTGAAGCTATGAAAAGTGGTGTCGCACCGTTTTTATTAGCGCTATTGATTTCGGCGCCGGCTGTCGCCAAGTATTCGACAACTTTTTCGTGACCTTGTTGTGAAGCGATGTAAAGTGGTGTCCAACCGTTATTCTCAGCGCGATTGATTTCGGCGCCGACTGTCGCCAAGTATTCGACAACTTTTTCGTGACCGTTTTGTGAAGCTATGAAAAGTGGTGTCGCACCGTTTTTATTAGCGCTATTGATTTCGGCGCCGGCTGTCGCCAAGTATTCGACTACTTTTTCGTGACCGTTATGTGAAGCTATGTGAAGTGGTGTCCAACCGTTATTCTCAGCGCGATTGATTTCGGCGTCGACTGTCGCCAAGTATTCGACAACTTTTTCGTGACCGTTTTGTGAAGCTATGAAAAGTGGTGTCGCACCGTTTTTATTAGCGCAATTGATTTCGGCGTCGACTGTCGCCAAGTATTCGACAATTTTTTCGTGACCCATTTGTGAAGCTATGAAAAGTGGTGTCGCATCGTCATTCATAGCGCGATTGATTTCGGCCCCGGCTGTCACCAAGTATTTGACAACTTTTTCGTGACCGTTTTGTGAAGCTATGAAAAGTGGTGTCGCACCGTCATTCTGAGCGCGATTGATTTCGGCGCCGGCTGTCACCAAGTATTCGACAACTTTTTCGTGACCGTTTTGTGCAGCTATGAAAAGTGGTGCAGCACCGTCATTCATAGCGCCATAGATTTTGGCGCCGGTTGTCACCAAGTATTCGACAACTTTTTTGTGACCCATTTCTGAAGCTATGTAGAGTGGTGTCGCACCTTTCTTATTAGCGCGATTGATTTCGGCGCCGGCTGTCACCAAGTATTCGACAACGTTTTTGTGACCAAATTGGGAAGCTATGAAAAGTGGTGACGCACCGTTTTTATTAGCGCCATTGATTTCGGCGCCGGCTGTCGCCAAGGATTCGACAACTTTTTCATGACCGTTTTGTGAAGCTACGTAAAGTGGTGTCGCACCGTCATTAAATGCGCGATTGATTTCGGCGCCGGCTGTCACCAAGTATTTGACAACTTTTTCGTGACCGTTGAAGGAAGCTATGTGAAGTGGTGTCCAGCCGCCATTCCTAGCACGGTTGATTTCGGCACCGGCTGTCGCCAAGTATTCGACAACTTTTTCGTGACCCATTTCGGAAGCTACGTAAAGGGGTGTCGCACACTGTTTATTACCTCGATTTATTTCAGCGCCTAAATACTTTTTGTGGCTGTTTTCGGACGCAACGTAAAACGGTGTCTCTCCAAACTTCTTGGGTTTGTTAATTTCGTCATTTAAATGTAACAAATACTTAACAATTTTCAGATGACCACTTTTACTCGCTAATAATAAAGGTGTTTCAGCATTTTCCGCAGTAATAAATGTGGTTTCGTACTGGCGATTTTTCCTGGTTTCCTTCTCTTGGACAGTAAAAAGCTCACATAGTTTATCGTATCCAAGTAAAGAAGAATAATATAAAATATTAATCATATCGTTAGGAGAATTTGACTGATGATTGAGTTCATTTTTTTTTGCTTGAAGTAATATTATTTCCGCCCCTAAACTCTCACTTTTTCTAGCATAAGACAACGGTGTCGCATGTAGCAAACTATCGTGTTCTTCAACGTTATTCTTGCTCTGCAAAAAGATTACCGTTTCAAAATAGGCTTCGGTTTCTGCTTGTTTATCGAAATTGCTGTCTTCATGCACAATACACTTGCCATTTTCAACCGTTATTTTTATACGCGGATGTCTTTGTCCCCATGAAGAAATCACATGTAAAGCACTTCTACCACCTTTGTCTTTGCGTGTTAAAGTTTTGTCATCATAACTTTTAAGTAATTCATATTTCTTATATAAAACAGCAATGTGAGCTTTACAATTTTTAACTAACAACATGTCGAAAAAAAAACGAACATTATTATACTTTGCATTGAACATTAAGTCACCCAGTATATCATAAAAGATATTTAATTTTTTTGAAAAATATGTTGCAGCTAAGTATTCAGCAAAGGAACCATGAATGAAATGTGCCACATCATTTTGGAATTCACTTACAAGACCAATAGACACACATTTTTCAAAATCTTTTTCTTTGTGTTCACAACCAACATTTAATCGTTTTAGTATTTCTTCCGAAAATATCACTTTAAGTGCCACTCTTTCGTAATTACCTAAAATTTCCTGTTTTTCTTCGCCAATTCTACTAACCATGTGAGGATTTTTATAATCAAACCCCAATTTTTGTTTGAAAAAATTATTAAATTTTTCATCAATGAAGTATTCGTATAAATCAGTCAAGAGAAATATATTTTCCATAAGTTTCGAATATTTGCCACTGTTTTGACGAAACAATTCAGTAACCATGAAGATTTGAAGCGGAATCCCCAAGATATTAACGTGTTCAATAATCGCGAACGATGATTTAATTTTTGCGACGGCGATCTCAATTTCGTCTGCAGAAATGAAAGAAGCTAAACGTTTTCTTACATAATTTTGTTGTTCTCGTTCATCAAACTGATTTATACTAAGTGCCAACACATTGAATTTTTTTTCTAGAAATGGTTGTAAATGTCTTCTACTAGTAACCCACTGAAGGAAACTTTTTGCTGAGAAACCAAGGATTATTTCCGAAACGGCTTCTAAATGTTCTCCTACAATTTCATCGAGCGCGTCCCAAACGTAAACAACATTATTTTTCGCTACACACATTTCAAAAAATCTTCGTTCGAATCTTTTGAGTGAGCGACATTTTGCATTTACGATAAATTTTTCAAATGAATCTGTATATTTAGTTGTTTTAGAAAACTTAGAATCGTAAAAAAATGAGTGCACGTCGTTAGGACTAATTATAATTGTCCAATGCTTCGGTGAACATTTATTTTTGCAGTTTTTCATCAATTCGGATTTCCCCATGCCCGGATCGCCACATATCAGATTTATGTTATTATCTAACCGAGAACACCACAGTTTATTTTCGTTCGTACAGTATTTACGAGTATCATGTAACTTAAATACCTGTAAATCACTAACATCGCCTCTGCTTTTAACCCATTGTAGGTTACAATCACTGGAAAGTTTAAAGTAGTGAAATTTTTTGGCTTCTCTATTTTCATTGTAAATTTGTTCTAGTTCTAAATCACTAAAATTGCTATTACTTATATAAACTGTGTTGGTAAAATGTGATTTATCCGAATGAAAGTTATTTTTATATTGAGTTGGGTTGAATCTAGACGCATAAAGTTCATTTGTTTGATTTTCAAAATTCTGATTTTTTATCTGTAAGAAGTTATTGACATCAATTAATTCACACTGCTTTACTTTGTCTTTAACTTGATCAAAATTATCGCCGCAATTTAAAATGATAATTGTGTTTTCCCAAAATTTTTCTAGGTATTCAATGTTAATAATATTTCGGGAAAGATTCCGCTCAATATAAGGTTCAGGAAGAATCTCTTTTTCTCCCCCTATATAACACGGACCATGTAGCATTTCCACCACCTTGTCCGTTGTGACACTTTCTAAGAATTCTTCGCTATTTTCAAAAGCTGTTGCAAGATTAAGTTCTCCCTTTCCTTGGATCGATATAGTAAAATTTTGCATGAATCTTTCACGTAAGTCCGATTTATCTTTCAAGTTTGATAGATTTTGGAACACGGCATAATTTTCCATCCACTTCTCATCCTTGCCTTCTCCAACTAGGATGAACTTTTTACCGGGACAGAGCTGGATTGCTTTTTGGACGTGCTCATGTTGACGTATTATTAATGGACACTTGTCTGTTAACCATAATAGTTGAATAAATATTCTTGAATCTATTTTGTCGATGTTTGTATTATTATCAATATAACTGACTGCTGGCAAATACCTTTGTCTTACTTTATTTAATTCTTTAAAGTCAAAGTTTTTTTCTTTTCTAATGTCATCCCAGACTGGTTTAAGCTTTTCGTACGATTCTTTTTCAAGTAGTGTAATGTCGAAGAAGGAAATGACTTCTCGAAATATTTTCATTTTATCGTTAACGGAATTGACATTAACTGAGCCAGAAGATAACGGCTCAATATGGGAAGATAGAAGCAGTAGAGCGATTACACGCTCCATCCACTTTTTGTTCAGCTTTTCTTTGTTGCCTTCTTGGATATTCCAATCAGTTATTCTTTTGAGAAATTTTTCGAATATTTCCTCATCCACATGATATGTAGTTTTGAATTTTTCAGCTATACTGTTTTTCAGACTTTCAACTTTTTTTTGATCGGTATACAGATAAAATTTACTAAAAAACTTTTGGTATTCTCGAATTTTGAGAAGCATTTCAGCATTCCAATCTTCTTCTATTATTTTAAACTGATACGCACAATCTATCTCTGCAAGTTCCGAAGCAGCTTTCACACTAACAGGAATAATAGAAAATTCTTCTTCTTCCAGTTGAAATGATGTGCTGTTGTCACACTTAAATGGTCTATTGGTAAATAGTATAAATTCGTCAACCTCTTTTTTTATTTCTTGGAAGCTTTTGAAATATTTGAGAATGCTGAAGTCTCCTGTTTTTGCCATCAAATTTTTTGTGGACAACGTTTTATTTTCGGTGTGTTTCAGCTGTACTGCTCTTATTTCGTTTCCGTTATCCAACTCAGTTTTAATAACTATGTCATCAAAAGCTCCGAACCCTTCTTCATTTGACGAAACATGAAAGTTCTTTATTGCGACGTCTTTTACTAGTTCTAGGATAACAGAAGCGAGAACCACATCCTCATACTCTCTACCTCTATCCGTGGTTCCGCATTTTTTTCTAAAACTCTGGAAAGGAATAAAGAATTGGAATATGCAATGACAAACTCCATAAAAGTTAATGTGAATGTAAACGCGGGTCGGTGTTCTGACCCATGAATTATCCGACGCCGTGGTTATTTTTCCTCACTTTCCACGTTATATTATGCCACCACAAGACCGTAAGAGACAAAGCAAAGACAGAAAAAGATTATGGAAATACAGTTGATATTAACTTATAAAACATAACAATTAATATCGAAGAATGGAAGCGGAAAAACTAAAACTAGTCTAAACTAGATTGGAGGATGTAAAATAAAAAAAAAAATTAAACACATTTTATGCAAATAAAGTATCTCGATAATCAGTTGTATCAAAATTTGAATAGGTATATGGCAAAAGATTTCGTAACTTGCCGTTAGTAAAAATGTTATCCATTTTATATCAAAAAAACACTCGAGAAATTTTCTAAGGTAAGATTCACGAAAAAAATTTTCACAAAAGAAAAGATAAACATGAACCTGTAGAATATTAATTGATCCATACTTTTAACATCATGCTTTAACACTTACTTCAATTTTAACTATCCACATTTTTGTTGTACGAATAAAAGAATAAAATAAAAACAGAATATATGTAGACAGATATATGAAGAGAAACACTCACCTCGAATTTTTCCATTTCTAGAGTTGAAATCACTAGTGCAAGAAAAAGCTGTAGCTAGAATTTTTTTCTACTAAACTGATATCAGCTAGGAACGTTTGTTTATTTATAGACCACACAAAATGATGATTTTTTGATAAGATAGACACACTTTTAAAGCGTCATAAAATTTCCAAGAAATATTCGTTTAAAACTGAAATATTGAAGTGGGCATGATATTTCGAAACAAAAAAAAACTCATTTTAAGCTCTCGTAGGTTAGTACTGAAAACATTTAAGTACAGAAATAGCTAGGTGGACAATTTATTCTCTACTTATTCAGTTTAATATTGTACTAGTATTTGTTTTTTTTTCCGTTTTGATACAAAGCATCGAGTTTTGTTGTTTTCCAAAATTATTATTTTCTGTGGCACTTGCAAAATACGACTTTAGTTAGTTCGACCTTTAAGTGAAGATCCCTTTGGGGAAAACGCTAGGAAAACCATGCATAGTTTGATTTTTTTTTTTTGCAATTTTCAGTACCGTACAACAAATATTACATAAGTATCGGGTGTTATTTTTATCAAACGTTAAAGGTTATTTAAGACAGTACTTAAGATTAGGTACCTACTTAACGGTTTCGTATCCTTTATCAACATAAAAAATTGCGCATTATTTTCATGTGTTTTTTATAAAATTTACTGATAAATCGATCTAATCTGTGATAAGTGATCAATTAAATATTATTTTTAAAATCCGAGTTTGGCAAATGTGATCTTATATCGAAATGCAAACAGGGCCGGCTCAACACGGTAAGCGAAAGATGCACCGCATCGGGGCGCCCGTGACAAGGGGCGCCGGGCGCCGCCTATGCTTTTATATTAACTCGACAAAAATAAATTAATATTAGATTTGCACTGCATCACCACGTACAAAACATTATAGCAGGAACAGACCAAGGCGCCAATCGAAAGCTTTTCAGAAAAAGCTACATTTTAACTGTCCACTGTGAGGAGTGGTTCACCAAAATAGTTCCTAAGAAATCAATTCCTGGCACTTTCTGACTGTAATAATTGAAAAAGAGTGCGCCTTTCGGTTGGATGATTGGACTTTTAGATCAATACCGACAAAAAATAACCATAAGAATTACGATTGTATTATCAGGGTAACAATTTGACGAGACATCGGTGTGACCAAAACCAGATGTTTTTCCTAACATTTGTCACGTTTGTTTTTACCATAAAACTCCATGTTGGCACATACTTAAAAAAAATATTTTCCAAGTCTAATCGGCTGGTTGTGGTAGTTGTTCAACAGTTTTGCTATATTTTTCACTGTTCCTGTTTGTAGCAGAATTTGGTTCTGTGTATCATTCCGTGGGTCTTTGTCATCATTAATTTTAAATTTAAATTTCGATTAACATTGAGGTGAGTCTAAATTAAAAATAACTTTGAAATAGTATCAATTTTACAATATTAAAAATTGAGAAACTTTTGCAATGTAAATATTTTTATACTTATACTATGTAGAAGATTGTTGCCAGCAGCTCCGCTTGCGCGTAATTCGCGATTAGGACACATCATTTTTCATCTCGTTCACTCCCCCCTCCCCAGTGAACCCGTCTAACTTAAAAACTCACGGGATTCCTACACAAATTTTCATCCCCTATTTTGTCCCCGTAGGGGCGGAATTTCCAAAAATCCTTTCTTAATGGGTGCTTATGGCACAAAAGGAACCTACTGTCCAAATTTCATGTTTGTAGCTTCAATAGTTTAGGCTTAGAGTTGATGAATCAGTCAGTCTGCCAGTAAGGACAAACACTTTTATAGCTATCCTAGCGTTTATAAGGCACAAAAGTTGGTAAATAGCTGTAGTTTATAGTTACTTATGTATCAAGAGTAGGTATTATGAAGTAGTTGATAGTTCGCCCGAGGGTATAAACTTCAAATAATACCCGTGCTAAATTCAAAATTTTATATCTGACCCCTAAATTTTTGATGTTTACAAAAAAAAGTCTACATTTACTGTTTCGGACTTTTCTTTAGAACTTTTAGAGGGAAACAATTTCATCATACATGATTTTTAAGCAACTTTAACCGTTTAAGCAGAGTAAGCAACGGAAGCTGTCAAATGAGGAATATTTTTCCCGTTATTCCGAATTTTTCATTGCTACTTCGCTCCTATTGATCGTAGCGTGATGTTATATAGCCTATATGTAGATACGATAAATGGACTATCGAACACAAAAAGATTTTTTGAATTCGAAGCAGTAGTTTCGGGTTCAACTAAACAAACTCTTTCTTTAGCTTTATAATATAAGTATAGATTAAGATGGATTCATCAAATTTCATGTATGTTTGTTACTAAAAAGTATCTCTCCACAAAAAATGTGATTACAAAATTTTATTTGTTTTTTTTTTACAAAAATTTTTTAGAAGGCGTTGAACAGTAAGTTGCATCGGGGCGCCTGGTCCCTTAGAGCCGGCCCTGAATGCAAATATACAGGAAGTAATCAACTTACACAAACACAGATAACGTTTAGTAAATGGAAAGTTATTTCTCAGTAAATTTTGGGATTTGTCGATAACTTTCGATAGTTTTACCCGACGGATGGCTACTTTCATGTTTTCTCCACATTTCATGATCTCTGGAGCGTTTCCGTCTGTCTGTCGTCCGTAACAATTTGTATTGGATAGATAATCTCCGAAACTACTGGACCGATTATTGCCAAATTTTAACGTTTAACGCCATTTATATATTACATAATTAACGTCAAACAATGGACTTAAAAATGCATATTTTGCATATTTTTCAATTTAACTGCATATTTATCGATTAAGTGTATATTTAGGTATGCATATTTTTGTAAAATTTTCATATTGTACTTTATTCAGCAAATACCAAGACATTACCTGGAAAAAAACAGTAATTAAAACATCCTAATCCGAACTGGAGACATTCCGTTTATTGGTATGTTGAATAGGCCGCATCCGGCTTGAAATTATCTTAATTTTCCTTTCAGGCAGCATCCTTCCACCAATACTCATTTTGTCATTTACCCGTTTCATTTTTAATTTTGTCGGTCTTTATTTTTGTACTGACAAGTGAACTTCGAATCCAAAATGCCAAAATTTCTGCAAATGTCCACAGCTGAATAAAAAAGTATCCCGAACTAGTGTTAGATGAAAATTCTCAATCTGCTTTTTGTAGAGTGTGCTATAAAAAGGTAAGTAATGTATCCAAATTTTTATCATTGCTATATTTTTGAATTTGTCACATTTGTTTTTATTAGTTCTAATGTAAAAAAAAAAGTCTGCTCGCAAATTGTTTCTCCACCACGTAGAAGATGACAGATCAAAAAGAATATTGTTTCCAATGTAAAGCATTCCTCAGTGCCGATATTCGTTTATCAAAACTGAATAACCCCAAGCTATGATCATTTCTTAAAAGGCGTACCATGAAGTCAGTTCCCGATGAGAGTACCTTAGAAAAAACTATATGGTCAAAGTGTTTCAAAAAACAAAGCAAGCTATTCGTCAAATTATAGGCCATAACCTAATTTATTTTCATGTCGATGAAACAACCGATTCATGTGCACGTTATGTCGCAAATTTGTTAATTTAAACTTTTACCAGTAAAAAATGTGGCACTTCATTGATTAGCACAAAAATTTTGGAAAAGACAAATAATAATTTTATTTATGAAGGTTTAACGAACTTTTTCTTTAGGAACCAGTTTCAGATGCTGCTACATACATCTAATTTTTTTTCCTCATTTTATCCATATTACTTTTACATAGTTGACTCATGGTATAAAGATTGGCTGAGGAAATTGAAATTTATTTCCAATAGTAGTAACAGTAGATTTAATCACCAATCTTGCAAAATTTTTATTAAATCACGTTTGAGAGTACAATTTTATAGAAATGCATTGCCCAATTTACCATTACCTTCACAACTTCTTGTAAATAGGTGGGGAATATGGTTAAATGCAGTTGTATTTTATACCAAAAACTACAATGCAATTAAGAATTTTATTGATGAGGTGTCAGATGTTGCTACTGTCGTGCCCAAATTGTTTTTGACCACGGCCGAGCATTTGGAGACTAACGAAATTATTTATTTGGGTGTAGGCCCATTTCCTTGGAAATGGAAGAGCTAAACTGCATGTGGGGGAAGAGGTAATAATCAAACGCTCCTAACATTTTAATACATATATTGAAAGATAAAACTACAAGCATAATAAAAGGATAAATAAGTAAATATGTAAATGAAGAATGGCAAAATAAAACATGAGATCAAACTTACATAACTAAAACATGCAATTGTGTTCCAATATTGAAAACCTTAAAATCTACGAACACAACCCACGAAACTAATCAAAATTAATCCTGAAAAATCCTCATCCAATTAAAAACTTGAAATTAACCCAGTAAATCCCTAATTATATGCGATACCTTCTAAACCATGATAAATAAACTTGGAAAACTGTTTAATATGAATTCGAGTAATGCATTTAAGTATTTAATAAACTGCGACCGGGCATTTACCCGCTAATTGAGTGCCATTAAAACAGATAGAAACAATTCAAACTAATAATTCAGTAGAATTCAACAAAATCTTCCATTGAAAATGAAGAAAACAACTAAAATTAACCAATTAAAACATGCATTTAGATCTACGCTAACTTGTGAAATTAACATGCAAAGAGAACGATAAATAAATTTTACTTTATTTAATTAGCTAAATACGCCAAGCGGGAACACTTGTTCACGAGAAAATCAGCGGCTACGGGATGGTCAAATAAAAACAAAAATGAATAGTCAGTCTTTAAGTACAGCTAAACGTTGAGAAATTAGTACCATAAATGCTCTAAAATACAGTGAAATCATTAAACTCGCATAAAGTGTAAGGTTTCCCAAAACTATGGCAAAATAATCAGAAAACGGGATCATACTGAACAGTAATAAACTCAGAATAAAATTATCAACTACAAGGAAATCAGATTAAAACTCCTCTAAATCTTCCATGTCGCGAAAGCAGGGGTCGAGTCCACAAATTAAGGAAACGTTGGAAAAAAAATCCTCCTCGACGACCAAAATCTGACGCAAAGCCCAAAGCCAAGAGTACCATCCGTAAACGAGAACATCTGTTAACACCAAACGCATCGAAACCCCCGAGAAAGAAGCATAAATTAAACGCTGGTGTTGTTTGTGTTCTCTCGTGTGACAGGGATTTCTAAGTTACTTTTTAATTTTCTTGATCGAAATTGATCTTTCAGGAAATATAAACTTTTATAATGAGGCCATGAGGAACAACTTTCTTCTCCTCCTGAGTCACCCGAATGAGGGATCTTACGTTTGGCAAATTCTTTTCTAAAAGTATCTCGCAACGTTTTCCACTTACTTCTAACTGCCTCTTCTGTAAATAAAAATATGTATCTTAAAATTCTACACTATACAGTTTACTTGTCTGTTTTGTTACAGATATTTGGCTACAGGGGCTTCGTTCAGAAGTTTGGGTTTCCAGTTTAGGATGGGTTATTCTACAGTCGGAAAAATTGTTAAGGAATGCGTTGAAATTCTGTGGAATGAATGATATCCCCTACACATGAAAATACCAACAAAAGAAGATTTTAAAACAATTGCTAACGACTATTACAATATATGGAACTTTCCTCACTGTCTAGGAGCTATAGATGGTAAACATGTTCGCATAATTTGTCCAAAACATTCTGGTTCTTTCTATCGAAATTACAAACAGTTTTTCTCAATTGTACTCCAAGGAGTTGCAGATGCTAACTATCGACTAACATTTATTGATGTGGGTGCTTATGGCAAGCAGAGCGACGGTGGTATATTTCGAGAAAGCAATTTGTATCACTTACTACAAAGTTCGAGTTTGAACATTCCCGAAGAAGACAGCTTACCAGGAACACAAATTCACATGCCATATGTTTTAATTGGTGATGAAGCTTATCCTTTGCTAGAGAATCTGCTAAAACCGTATGCTAAAAATCAGCTGACATTAGATGCAGAATACTTCAACAGAAGACTATCACGGGCACGAAAAACAATAGAATGCACATTTGGAATACTTTACTCCAAATGGAGGTTACTGTCTAAAGGTATTGAAACTAATGAAAATACTGCCGATAATATTATCAAAGCCATTTGTGTACTACACAATACAATATTAGACAGAGAAGGTTTCGAACGACATCTTAGCGAAATTACTACTCTTGCAACCCCAAGAGGCTCTAATATCCGCTGCTCTCATATTGGACGTCCTACAGAAAGTGCCAAAAACATCAGAGACACCTTTAAACAGTTTATTTGTCATAATCGTATAGCTTACACCGAATAATAACAGCAAATTGCCTTATTATTATGAATGTAAGTGTTATGTAGCCCTTTGTATTTGATTATTTGCAATAGAAAACATTACTACCAACTTACTAGAGGTTTGCACTTCCCTGGCTACAGCATCCCATAATTTATCCAGAATGTACCTGTTATGGTACGCGCCCATTGCAATGTATTGTTGCAAAATCGCTGCTATCAGCGCAGCGTTGCTCACTGCGTTCATCACAGCTCCAACATGTTTGCACCCTAATAGATACGGCCGAAATCGAGAACACATTATGGCAGAGAGAGAGCGTGATAAGTTACGTATGACTGAAATTCAGACTAACACAGATGAAGCATACATATTTACTCATTTATCTTGTATCCTGCTACGTTAGTAAGCCATAATTATAATTGATTTATTTGTTACATGGAACGCGTGTAGTGTAACGATATTGCAAGCCAATGAACCCGGACGATGAACCGACAAAAGCAGCACAGTTTAAGGAAATAACTAAGCAATATTATAAGTGCTCATCGGTTCATCGACGGGGAAATGGTGAAAATGCATGATATACAGAATAAGCATAAATTGTTGTTAAATAGAAAGAATTAATAATGTTAAAAAAGTTACGTGTAAACCTCCACCAAGAACACAATAAACGTCTTATTAAAAATGTAAGTGTTTATGTGCAAGTCCTGGGACACCCAATAAAAGAACATAAAGGAAGAATATTTCATGGCGATCCTGCCAGTCCTGGCTAAGAAAATTCAAGAGTGACATCAAAAAACCGAAAAGGAAAATGGGGCAGAATCAGTCAAAAGAAGAGGTCATAATTGCACAAGCTGGTTACAGTGACGGCATAAAGGATGGTGTAGATGCTTCTCATTCACAGACCGTGAAAGACTATGTACAAATTGCCTTGTGTGGATTGGCGGTTTTGGTGTTGGTGGCAGTGCTTTACAAATACTGCAAGAAGCGCTTACAGATGAAAATCAGAAGAGAAATTTGTCGTAGTCGAGAGGAGGTTTAACGTTCTCTACATGTGGGTTTTTGACAGTCAGTGGAAATGTGCAGTGTTGTGAATGTGTTTCTGGGCAATTCTAGCATTGTCTCATGAAAAGGTTTAGGGTGACATGTGTACGTGCGGGAGTGTTATGGGCATTTCCGAAATAGTGCTGTGTGGTGCATCAAACACTAAAATGTCATGTCTGACAGCACCGCTTTTAGGCATATGTATGAAGAGCTGAAGGTCGTTCATCGCAACCTAGGAAAGGACTCATCTGCTAGACGTCAGGATCCAAAAGCAATACGTAGTAAGGTTAACAAAATAAATAAATTAAATGCGGATTTTAAAGACATTAGAGACAATTTTAACAAACATGAACATAATGATGCTTTGAAAAAAGAAGTTAAGGCTCTTCCTTACAGTCATTAAAATCTGCCGAAATACGGCAAAACGCCACTTCCAATATCATCCTTACTATAGCACTTGAAGATTTGTGCGACATATCTATTTGTTCGTGATACAAAAATCTTCATGGAAATAGTTTTTATATTGCATTAAAGGCTTCCGTTTTTTTAATAAAAAATAAAAACAGAAAAACTTATTTTTCTCTTTGAGCCAAAACTATAACGTATTTTGGCTTAAAAAAATCTGACAGTGTAGATAATATTATTGCTCACCTGGGGCTAATAATCATTTTTTCGTTAAACTATCCATTTTTTAGTTATTGTTGATTAAAGCAAGACCTAAAAAGGGCATTTTTTCTAAATGTAGGCAACCAAACATCTTCTTTCGTCAAGAACGAGCCAAGAAAGTGTATGATTTACGATAGGGGTTGGCCACTATTGAGAGATTATACGGATTTAAAACCTTTGCTGAGAAAATATGCAAATGAGGTGACCGTAGTGTGTTCTACCTGAAGGTTGTGGAATCGTACAATTATGTAGGAGTATTATATTAATCTAATTTCAGAATAACAAATAAATAACCGAGTTTGGATTTTTTACAAAACTGCCTAACTTGTTTCAACAGCTGTAATTACTGCTGATCCCAAGTTAGACAAATTTCAAAATTATCAATATTATCATGAATCAATGAATATCAATAGAATAGAATAAACTTATTCAAAGCAAATTATGATGATTAAATAGTTATTTGGCACTAATGAAGTTTCAGATGATGTAGCATCAATGCCAGATATGGTTCCAAAAGTGTATGAAGAAAAAAAATCTGATTTTTTAAAAATCTTATCACAGTGTAATGCTGTGACAATTGAAAAAACAACTCGTGGCCAGCGACTTAGTAATGACTGGAAAAAAGAAAGATCAATTCGTTTGACAGCTAGCAAGTTTGGAAAAATTTGCAAAATGAAAAATACCACGAACACTGCAAATACAGTTAAGGAAATTGTATATTCAGATACAACGTTCTCCAAAAAAATACCCGACGCTATACAGTTTGGAATAGTTCATGAGGAACAAGCCAGAATTAAATTTGAGTGTTTGACAGGTTTAAAGGTGTTACCATGCGGCTTATTCATCGATAACGCAAAAAAATATTTGGGAGCGTCTCCAGACGGAGTAATTAATAATGATACAATTATAGAAATTAAGTGTGCTTTTTCTGCCCGAAATAAAAAAATTAAAGATGCCATAAAAGACGGTACCATTAAATTTTGTGTCATCAATGAAGCTGACGACTCGATTGTACTAAAATATAAGCACGATTACATGTATCAAGTGCAAGGGCAACTTCATATAACACAAAAAAAATGGTGTTATTTCATCATATATACTGAGGTTGATTTACAATATTTTTTAATTGAAAGAAATGACGATTTTTGGGAGAAAGAAATGGAAAATTATTTGGAAACATTTTATTTAAAAGCCATGCTCTCAGAAATTATTGATTCACGATGGAGTCGAAATCAGCAACTTCGTCCTATAATAAAAAAAGATTTATGATTTACAGACCATTATTTATTTTTATATCATTATATTTATTAGAGGCTACAATATGTATAAAGAATCTTCATAGTGTGCTTTGGAAAAAGTTGTTCTATTCTTTTCTTTTTCAGTGATAATTTTAAAATTTGTCTAAGTTATTTCACATTTGGGATCAGCAGCAATTATAGCTGTTGAAACAAGTTAGGCAGTTTTGTAAAAAATCCAAACTCGGTTATTTATTTGTTATTCTGAAATTAGATTAATATAATACTCCTACATAATTGTACGATTCCACAACCTTCAGGTAGAACACACTACGGTCACCTCATTTGCATATTTTCTCAACAAGGGTTTTAAATCCGTCTAATCTCTCAATAGTGGCCAACCCCTATCGTAAATCATACACTTTCTTGGCTCGTTCTTGACGAAAGAAAATGTTTGGTTGCCTACATTTACAAAAAATGCCCTTTTTAGGTCTTGCTTTAATCAACAATAACTAAAAAATGGATAGTTTAACGAAAAAATAATTATTAGTCCCAAGTGAGCAATAATATTATCTACACTGTCAGATTTTTTTAAGCCAAAATACGTTATAGTTTTGGCTCAAAGAGAAAAATAAGTTTTTCTGTTTTTATTTTTTATTAAAAAAACGAAAGCCTTTAATGCAATATAAAAACTATTTTCATGAAGATTTTTGTATCACGAACAAGTAGATATGTCGCACAAGTCTTCAAGTGCTATAGTAAGGATGATATTGGAAGTGGCGTTTTGCCGTATTTCGGCAGATTTTAATGACTGTAAGGAGGAGCCTTAAGGAATATGTAGAGTTAATATTAAAATTGTTCGATTTAATCAATAAAATATTGGAAAGTAGATTAAAAGAGGTTACTGATTTAGGTGAAATCACAGACGTAGATGATTCTGATTTAGAATTGGATAGTGTAGAAATTATTAATAGTAATCTTAGAGTAAAAATGGGAGAAAAATTTAGTTTAAGGACCGCGGCGAGCTTGTTGCCTCTAATGGATGGTACCGAAGACGTCACAAAACGACTAATTGATGCCATCGAGTTGTACGATACTTTACTAGATGCGGATAGTAAAAAATTATTAATTACATATGTTTTAAAAACGCGCTTAACGCAAAGTGCAAAAATTAGATTACGGTCCACTTATACCAATTGTATTGAATTAATAGCAGACCTCAGAAAATATTTTCTTACAAAAAAAATCGGCAGCTGTCTTGTCAGTCCAGTTAAATAGTGCCCGGCAAAATAATAACACAATAGATGAGTTTGGAAAAACTATAGAGGAATTAGTAACAGAATTAACTATTGCGCAAGCCGATGGTGACCAACAGGTGCTCGATGTGTTAAGATTGGCTAATGAAAAAATTGCTATCAATGTTTTTTCAAATGGGCTCCGAAACACGGAATTGAGAACTATCGTAAAGACTCGAAACTATTCTAAATTGTCCGACGCCATTAGAGGGGCGCTGGATGAACAACCTTCAACGTCGTTGTCTCAGCAAATTTTTAATATGAGAATTAATAACCAGTTCCGAAGGAATTACGGCGACAGGGGTAATTTTAACAGCAATAGGTCCCATTTTCAACCAAATTCAAATCGCAACTATAATCATAGCAATAGTTTTGTTAATAATAACCAAAGGGCGCAAAGCAATACTAATCGCGGAAATAGTAGCACATACTCAAATAGCAATTATCGAGGTACTTTTAGAGGTAATAGAGGTGATCGCGTTAATTATAGAGGAAATCAACTCTCGAATCGGTCAAAGCGCGGCCAGAGAATTAGCAACAATCAGTTAGGAAGGTATGATGGCAGGCCTCGCGTGTATGCAGCCGAGAACGGAGAAGAGCAAGCTACAGAAGAAGAAAATAGTTTTTTTCGTGCCAACTAAAATACATAATAATAAATTAAAATTAGTTGCTAGTGCAAATGGGGTAAATTTTGTACAAATGTATTACAGGGGTAGAAAACGAAAATTTTTAGTAGATACGGGTGCTACGATAAGTGTTATTTTAGAGAATGGGTACATAGTAATGA